GCTCGTCCTTGTGTGCGATAGCTTAACGACTTTTTTAATGTTCTTTCCAACCTGCACTGCAGCATTGAATAAAACAGAAACGTCTGTCTGTCTCAAATAAATGTTTCTTCAGCTGTTCGCTTCTATGAATATTCATACACAGAACAGAAGCATATGATTTGAGTCGTGAATGTTTATTTCTTTGAATATAAAAAAAGCATAGACTCATCCGTTTCATCTAATAAGTATTCTTTATCAGCCAGTTGTAGACTAAGATTCCATTTACTTTGTAATTTACCAGCATTTTTCCAGCTTGAATGATGTTTTTTTTTTAAAACATATCAGTCCAAAGCGGAGATTGTGTGGATACTAACTACTGACTCTATTCTCTTCACTCCATTACAAATTCGTGTGACGTTTCCATGTGCAACATTGAGAAAATTTTATCTCCTCTCCGTACTCCTTTCACTTCATTCGTTGCAGAATAAGGAGATGTTGTTGTAAGGTTTTATGTATCACCAATTATTCTTGCGCACTGAGAAGGGATGCCTCGGTTGATTAAGAGTGGTGACGCTTCAGTATCAACAGAATCGGAAGCCTTTTTCAATTCCAAGGAAGTGGTACAGTATCATACGTTGCATGACGTTTTGATGGCCCTCAATACAACTTTCCATTGCTGATAAATTTTTGAACCTGCATAGCCTTGTCTTTCAGTTCTGCTTGGAATAACTGCTGTGAATAGTTTATTTAGAAAACGAATATAAGCAAAGCGATAACTGGTCATGTCGTAAGCACCCTCTTCTCCACATAGCCGGTACTGCTGTTCTTTAGAGTTGGAACGTTGCATTTAGTAGGCTATCGCGTGAGGGGCCAAGCCAAGGTTTTATAAATACGGATGAGTGTCCTGAATGTCCTGGTTTCCTGTTAAAATGGTTGCAGTAGTTCTTTATCGAAGTGCTAATACCTCGGTTTCTAAGGGGAGGCCTGAGCTTCAACCAGAATGAAGGAGTTATTTGGAAATTATGCATAAGGGTTTTGTTTCTTGTCGCACGGAGTGTGCACAGTTTAGCATACCTCTCGCGTAGCAGCCCACCCCCTCCCCCCTCTCATTAGTATCTTTTTAAAGCGGAAATTATACAAAGCACTTCTTTTCAGCC